TTATAATTTTAAAGTTCACAGCTTGATTTTTTCTTTGAAACAATAATTGGTAGCGAGCTCTAGTATTAACATAATATAGGTAAACATGTCGAATTTTGACAACATATACATATATAAGGTGGCTTTACGTACGTATCGGATTTCATTTGGAAAGAGTCTAGCTGTGTTTTCACTAAATGGAGATTGGTGCAGAGAATGGATGACAAAGTCATCTTCTTTATTTCATTCAGTTGAGCTGAAAATACAAAATGACAAGTTAAGTAGAACCCCACATTCCTGGCATTTCTATCTGTTTAAGGTATTTTTGTCCAAACTTGACTGTCTATTCTTTATTACAAAATAATATGCAATTGTAAATAGTTGTTCATTACATTCTAAGCATATTTAAAATTTAAGAACAGTTTATTTGCATTAATGTTTTAAAACAATAACATATTGTTAGGCGCATTTACATCCATTTTTTAAATAACGTCAGGATAATTTCAAAAACCAAACATGAGGAAATTAAATACGTTTTCCCGTTAATTTTTTACATCATTATTTTCTCTTATCAGGTTTAGTTCTATAATTAAAAGCCGAACTCAATAAACTACATTTTCACATTGATATGGTTCATGTATTTAAACTTTGCATAACAATATTAATTTAAACAACCAGTAATAAAAACTTTACATTAAGTAAATAACTATTACAATACTAAAGTATTATACTTATTGACGTATACGTCTTTAACGACAATTGTGTTAAAATATCTAGATTTTATGCCAAATTATACACGTTTTGTGCTTAAACCTATATATTTCGTGCTATTACAAATTTCTCTACTTTATGTATAAATACCTTCCGAAAATCCAGTATATGGCGCATCGTTTTCATACCAGAATCTGTCGCCCTTTTGTAAATCTCGAAACTGTCTGGAAATGATGCAAGCAAACGTTGGACCAACCAAGGCACCAGGCAGATGTTTCTCCAACAAACCACCACTGTAAAGGTCAATATCATTTGGGGAACTGAAACAAATATATTTATCAATATTAAAACTGGAGAAAACTATTGTATTTACAATTGCAATGAATTATCACTATATATGACCCCTCAACATTCTGATGACATTTATATCAGCTATGATTGCCTTGACCCAATTGTTTACATTATAATTGGAACGTGGGGTTCTATTGACCTTTCCTGGACAGTTGGCCGTTCTATTCATTGCACAAGCATAACGACACATTAAAATAATTTGATCGAAATGCCTAATTTTATAAAGTTCATATTTTTTAAGAGTATTGAAATGATCCTGATGGACATTTTTGGGCAATGTGAATGCCAATTGAGCAAAGACATATCGATGATTTTTGCGTTTGGTCAGTTGGCATTCATGTTGTTTGTGAATGCAAACTGAAAGCAGTACAATGATGAAATATCATTTGATTTAGGATTTAACCATTACCTATATTTCAGTTTAACGTAAAAACAGTTTTCAGCATTGAAGGCAGGTACCGTTGATGTCTGTAGTTATTTCTTAGAAAGTGAAAAATGTTGAAGGTATCTGAATACGATTTTTTAAGATATCTAATTATCAGACTCGAATCGCAATATTCCGTCAAAAAGGACAAAAATAAGTCATTCGCTGTAACAACCTAAGTGTACGTATAACCGAAAACCAAATTCGAACTAATAATCAATATGTATTTTTTACCTGAAATGAACAACCTAAATATTCCTTTAACAAATAACATACCAGTAACTGATAACCTACTTTTAACCAATAACCTACATGTGACTTATAATCTACCTGTACTTCTGGGACTTGTTTTACGCCTAACTGATAAATAAGTATATTTCATCACAAAAAAAAAAAGCAAAACCAAAACAATGTTTTGATATTTCATAGATTATGTATGCATCTCAAAACGAATAATTTCAACAACACTTTTTTGACATTGTACCAAAACATATCATAGACCAGATCCAACTGATATTTTACTTGTACAAAATAAACATCTAAAATAGCCTACCGCTAGAGATTAGCAACACGTAATAACATATATTTACAGTTGGTAATCAATTGCTAATTTTCAAGTTTAGAGAATTTATACTTGTTGACATGCCTCTATAAACCAACGAGACAGCCAGCCGCGGAATCACAATGGGCGGTGTGCGCACGGTGTGTGCACGATGTGTGAACCATGTGTGAACGATACAAATCTGGACGATTGTTGCTTGCGCACATTTTAGCTTACGATGGACGAACGTTTCGAGATAACAATCGTGGTTGGTGTAAATTGAGGAATAACTTAATAATATATAAGGTTTTGTGTTAAGTCATATACTTCTTTATTCTTACTTCATCTATAAGCTTATCTCATAAGTTAAACATAGCCACTTTGAACATGTATCAGGATCTTATTTTTCGGATCCGATGCACTAACGTTACTCGTCGAGGTGTGAAAATCTAGAAAAAGAAGAGCTATAGAAAATATTAAAACAATGAACATCATGTACATTTTTGTAATGAGAAATTAATATATAAAGTGTACATGCAACTTATTTCATATGAACCCCCCGGACATTTTACATTCTGTAATATTGATTAACCAATTCTACAAAATCGCGAATTTGTGAGAAGAGAATTGCACAACGGGGCAATCGATTGTTAAATACGCGGACGGTGCGCGAACGATGTATGCACGCTACAAATGAAGACTTTTACAACTAAAAGCGTCTTGTATAAACAATGTATATACCTGTAAATACGAGAAAGTCTATTTCTGCCAGTGCGATAATGGTTGACGAGTCCACTTTTGCGGTGACTAAAGTCTGAGGCCGGATTAAGGCCACACCAAGACCTCCAGGCATTGTATGATGGCAGTCCGTGATCACGCCCCCGTTGCATGTTCAAAGCAGCGAGGTCAAGACTATCATTTTTTGAGTCTAAAAATAGGAAATTTCTCACACTGCTCTGAATAGAGTTATCCTCTTTAGTCTGAGCATATGAA